AAGTGGGTACTTTCGTATCAAGTGGGTCTTTACCTTTCGGCTACTTTTGAGTAGGTTCCTTTGTATCGAGACGATGTTAAAGCGGCCAGTGTCGGTCAATTAGACTGTTTTTTTTTTTTTAGAGTTGTTATGTAATCAATCACCAATGGGCTGAGTGAACTGACAAGACACCCGTTTGGCATTGGTGCTATGCAGTCGGTGAACACTGAACACTGAACACATGCCTGGCGCCAATTATGCTCGCTTGTCCCTGCCGCTGCTTTTACTTGCTCGTTGAATTTCGTGAAGTAGGATGTTTTCAACCGGTAAATACGCTGGAATAACTGATTTGAATTGTCATGCAAACTGGGGCTACCGTTACCCTTGAAGCGGAACATAGTTAACAGCTTATCACCCCCTAATAAATGACAACTCGAATGTTTTTCGAGTCGTTAAGAACATCGCAAGCATGTGTTTTGGTAATAGTTAGCAGCGATTCAATGTTTTTTTTTTCGGAACTTCGTAGCTCGTTGAGCTCGAACTTGTCCAACGCTTCGGTAAACTTTATGGGACGGGACATATGACATGCGATGCAACAGCAAGTTCAGAACTTGCGATTACAGTCCTATTTCGCCATCCAAGCCCACGCATTCGTTCCGGGTATTTCGAGTTCTTGGCGGGCTGGTCCCATTTCCTTCTGCTTCTAAGCAGCCGCCCTCGCTGCGCAGAAGCCCTATCTTCGCGCTGTTGCCAGACGTGGTGATGCCACTTCCTGCCATTCTCAGCGGGAACCATGTGTGTTGTTTGCGCAACGTTCGTCCCCTTATAGTTGTGACTTTATGTTACGTTACGACTATAGCACATTTATAGATATTTAATTTCTAAACTTATCTGGAATACGTCGACGTATGTGACTTTATGACAAACCTGGGCAACTGCATATCATTTTATGAGGTATTGGGGGAATCAACGCTAAACATGCAACCACAGAAGTTTATGAAACACCAATGCATATTATTCCAGTTGTTCCATTTCCTTGGCCTGGAGAAGTACTTATAACAATAATTTTATCAGTAAATTGAATTTGATAGACGTTCGTAGCACAGTGCAGGTTTCATGGTGTGGTCGCCGCGCTCTATCGTTTCCTTTTTTCCTTCCGTTCCCTTATCTTTTGTTCCAATATGATTTGTCCGTAGTTCACCGTGCGCCTTTCTGGCTCGACGCCAACTTGGCCGGCTACCCGAGCCTGTAAATGTGACCACTGCCGATAGATGCCGCTAATGATTAACCGCGAGTGACCTGAGAAGTAGTGCCGTCCGACACAATATAGCATAAGCGTTTATATGTATCTGTAATTGCAAATGCTCAAAAATTGATTGTTTCGGGTGCTTATTTATTCAACAATATTTCCAACACTGTTATAAGTATCCCGATGTTGTGCGATTTACTTTCGAGCTGCCACGTCATGTGTTCGTGCGCGGGGCGTGTCGCAGTGACCGGCGACTGGGTCGCGGCGCCATTGCTGGTCGAGAGGCGATAAGCGTGTGACGTTGTGTGCTGTGCTCCGTCGCAACTGATGGTGAGTTGAGAGACCTGAAATTGATATTGTTCTTTTATTTACGTCGGCATGAAATATGTGATATTCAGTTCAGTGTTATTGGCGCAGATACCTGAGAAAACTTATTGACCTGTTCTAGGTATGATTCGATGGTGACCGTCGTGTCAGGAGCGAGCCGCGTGGAATGTCCCGCAGGAGGCGTTACCTGTCGGTATGTAACGAATGATATTGGTCCCTGGCACATTGAAATGTTATTGCTGAACCCATTTACTATCGGATTTGCAAGCTGAAGTTAGATGTTAATTATCGGGAGAATTGCCGCGCTGTTCGGATTATGTGAGGGGATTGGCGCACGGTGACGTAATTTGTCTCGTTAGTTTTATTGTGTTATTTGCTTTTGTTGTCGCCCGCGTTATGTGCATGTTTTGCTGTTTTCGTTGCATTAATTTTCGTACTGTTTGTTTCTACAGAAACGACCAAATACAGGCCAGTTACGGCTGAGCGCCGTTTGTATGGGAGCGGGTACCGCGGCTACAGTTTCGACAGATCTCCAACCGGCGGCGGAGCGACTGCTGCACCTGATGAGCAGCTGCTGCAATGGTTCGTCCGGCCGTGCCGACGACTGCTGCGTCTGGTGAAGCCAGGAGCATGATCGCTTACAACGGTAGGAAAAGCGCTGCAGTGCCGACCCGTGTGCTGCGTGGTTTAACTGGGCGAGTTAACGTCAAGTTGGACTAGTGACGTGACGTGATAATGACTCGGGAGTTTCTGGTGGCGTAGAGTAAAGGGTGACGTCATAAATGATAGCGGCAGTGCTGTGACGTCATTTATTGAAGTATAGCGGCACAAGTTGGGGACGTGACAGCCGATTGGTGACTAGTGGGTTTGGTGTGACATCACATATCTGCAGTGTTAGTGTACATGCTGACGTGGTTTGGTAATCGATGTTATAAGACTGCACTGTAGCTCACTAGCATATAAGTGATGAACGCGGCTGCGTAGGTACTTGTCGATAAGGCCCACTGTGGGGAGTATTTGAGCTGGAACGAGTTGGTTTAACGTTGAGCCAGATTTGTTCCCGATCCAGTCCATTCCTGCCTACCCGGTTAGCGGCGTCCACTCCTCATCTCGTGCCGGGCATTTGGCAGTGGTATCTTCTCTTCGGCGTTTCGGACTGCTTCGAGTGGTTTGATTCCCGCTGTTGCAGTCAGGGTTGTATACCAATCAAGTCGATTGAATTGATTGATTTGTTTCAACGCGTATTTTGAGTTGATTGGATTGAGTCGATTGACTTTTCGAGATGACTGGTTGACTGACTCGTTTCACTTTAGCGACTGGTTGACTGATTTGATTCCCGAAAATCAGAGTGACTCGTATGATTGAGTCGATTGAATGGAAAGTTCAAATAAGTTTTAGTTGACGAAAATAATGACACCAATTGATGACACCAAAGATCACAAAACTACACTGAAAACTGCTTGTCATCACAACTGCAATATGGGGTAGATGGCCAAATAAAGAACAGGGCCTAAACAACATGAACAGCCAACATTGACTTTGAACTGCAATAACTGCTCCAATCCTGGTGATAGAACCTGGCGATGCACCTACCTTCCTTTCTGCACTCAGCAGGAAACGTTTTTTTTTTAATCCAGATGATAAAGTGCAAGGCCCTATATATACTAATAAAGTGTGATTAATTTATAATTCACATCTCCACATCTCCTCAGAAACAACCCACTGAACTCTATAAATATCTGAAACCCCTACAAAAATAACTGAAAGAAAAGCGCCGTTTTCGTCTCGCTGATTACGTTTACGTACAATTAATAGCTAATTTGCTGCATTGTTTAATTTGCAGCAGAACGTTTGTTGATTCTTTTCTCCTGAGAGCCTAAGCATAACATATTAAATATATTTCATTTTCCTTAAAATATTTTACCGAATATCATTAAGTGTTTTTATTTCAAATGAAATAATAATTAAACCGAAATTGGTGCTGTACAACCGATTTATTTTATGATGATCTACCATACTACATGATAATCAATGACGTCATCTTACCAAAAAGTCAAAAGAAGTAGAATAAGGATTTATAAAAGCTTAGCATACTTATTGGCAAAACCAAACGTTTTTGTTGTTTCGCAGTCGCGCCGTGCCGTTTTCCCATTCCCTGTCCTCTCCATTTCCTTTTAAATATATTTTTAATCCTCATCCCTATCCCCCAGTCCTAACAGTTTCAAATTGTATTGCAATAAAATGTTTTGAATTCTTCACATAGGTACCTAACATTGACATACCACGTCCAGAATCGTGGACCGCTAAATACTTCAAATCTCTTCCTTCCCAATCTGACAACATCCCATGTCTCAAATACACATTGTGTGGAATGATTTTTCAGGCTGCCTGTCAGTCTCTGTCTAACCGAAACCGTCACATGCATGATGCAGGTAAGATATTTATTTCTATTTCCCTATGGTTAATATGTTATTGATGCATATTATCCATTAAAATAGACATGGTGTAAATGGTGTTATATAATACTGAACGAGGCCGGTGTAAATAAATTTTCAAGACCGAGGTCCTTACTGGATTTTTGAACGAGGCCGAAGGCCGAGTTCAAAAATCAGTAAGGACTGAGGTCTTGAAAATTTATCACCGGCCGAGTTTGGTATGTATTTTACTGTATGCCAACGATAAATTTATGTTCTGGACCGAAGCTCTTAGCCGACTTAGGAACGAGACCATCCAAAAATGTTGGCTTAAGTGCATTCTGGTAATGCATTTTTGACCGTGGTCAATTTGCTTACACCAGTTATTACCACACCTCTCTGGCTAATGTATTTGAATAGGCCAGGCATACAGTAAAAAGTGTAAAAAGACATGGTAAATGGCCAAATCATGAACACTGCCAAAATCCGAGCAGCCAACTTTTAACTGCAATATCTGATATTAAGTGTAAATGGAGTTGGAATATGGCCAAAATTAAATTGACAACTTTTAGGTGAAAGGTGGTGATTTGGGTTAAGGGGCGAGTCAACTACTGGGTCATTTTGCACCCATTAAATGAAACTTCTGCTCCAATTCTACCCATTGAAGCTCAATATCATGATCCACCTGTCCATCACTAGGTATCCTTCCTTATTACATAGAAACTTTGAATGGCATGGCAATTTATAATTTTAAGTGACAATATTTTTATGTTTCTTCTGTAGGTAGGTAGGTAGGTAGGTAGGTAGATAGGTACACCAGACTGCTATGGACACTTTTCCAAGTTGGTGGGGCAAAAAACCTAATGTATGTCTAGGTTTGAGTTGTTTGATTGAGTTGATTGATTCCTTTCATTGTCGCGTTTGAGTCGATTGAATCAATTCCCGAAAACTGCTCTGACTTGATTGATTTGATTGGTTTCCCAAATTTGTCGTGATTGAATTGATTGCTATTGATTGAGTCGTATACAACCCTGGTTGCAGTCCTCCTGTCTGCTTCGGCGAGGTCGCTGTTGGAGCCGCGTCGACGAAGCTGCAGTTGGAGCCGCGCCGACAAGTTGGAAGTTGGAGCCGCGCCGACGAAGTCGAAGTTGGAGCCGCACCAGCGAAGTCGCAGTTGGAGCCGCGCCGACGAAGTCGCAGTTGGAGCCGCGCCGACGAAGTTGGAAGTTGGAGCCGCACCAGCGAAGTCGCAGTTGGAGCCGTGCCGACGAAGTCGCAGTTGGAGCCGCGCCGACGAAGTTGGAAGTTGGAGCCGCGCCGACGAAGTCGCAGTTGGAGCCGCGCCGACGAAGTTGGAAGTTGGAGCCGCACCAGCGAAGTCGCAGTTGGAGCCGTGCCGACGAAGTCGCAGTTGGAGCCGCGCCGACGAAGTCGCAGTTGGAGCCGCGCCGACGAAGTTGGAAGTTGGAGCCGCGCCGACGAAGTTGGAAGTTGGAGCCGCGCCGACGAAGTCGCAGTTGGAGCCGCACCGACAAGTTGGAAGTTGGAGCCGCGCCGACGAAGTCGCAGTCGGAGCCGCGCCGACAAGTTGGAAGTTGGAGCCGCACCGACGAATTCGAAGTTGGAGCCGCACCGACGAATTCGCAGTTGGAGCCGCACCGACGAAGTCGAAGTTGGAGCCGCGCCAGCGAAGTTGCAGTTGGAGCTGTGAAGATCAAGTTGGAAGTTGGAGCCGCGCCAGCGAAGTTTCAGTTGGATCTGCGCCAGCGAAGTTGCAGTTGGAGCCACGCCAGCGAAGTTGGAAGTTGGAGCCGCACCGACAAGTTGGAAGTTGGAGCCGCGCCGACGAAGTTGCAGTTGGAACGACACGCACGAAGTTGTTGTTACCCGAAGCTGTAATTGTACCCGTGTTTGCTACAGTTAGCCTTTCGTCATGAATCCGCTGGAAGAATTCAAGGTCTCGCAGCTGAAGTCTGAACTGAGACAGCGGGGAGCAGACACAAGAGGTTCGAAATCGGTACTCATGATCCGTTTGAAGGAGTTGCTGGATGATCAAGGTGTGGATGTGGCATGCTTTGTCGCTTCACGAAGAGATGATGCAAAGAAGAACGGACACCTGGAGGATGCCAATGCTGGAGACTCTTCTCGTCGTGAGGACGACTCTTCTCCAGCCCCTGGACCACTCGTGAGAGCCGGTTCGCAGGCATCCATGGACAGTTCCGCCTCACGAGCTTCTGTTTCTTCTTTGCGTGCTGCAGAATCTGCTAAGAAGGCTGGACTGATCGCGCGGGCTTCCTTTCTGAAGAAAAAGCAGAAGCTCGAGATGGAAGCCATGGAAATGAAAATGCGCCAGGACGAGCTACAGCTTCAAGCTGAACTTGCCGAGTCTGAAGCAAGAGAACAGGTTTTGCTGGAGAGTGAAATGGCCCTGAATCCTGGAGTGGCCCAACTGGTAGAACAGCCGCCCACCGGAGACCAGCGCGTGGAGCCGGAGAGAGCAGCAGCATCTGAAATCCAAGAAGTGTCTGCGTTGAGGAGGACTCTGCCTCTCTCGAGGCCCGGTCCTATTCCAGTCGTCCCGGCAGAACCGATGACCGATGGGAGTACGAGGTTCCAGCCAGCTCCTGTCCAAGTTCCCCACGAAGCTAATGGCAGCAAGAGCAGGAGTCAGCAGGATGCCACGCAGATACTCCTGTCGCAGTTGCAAAGGACTGGTCTTCCCACGCCTGATATACCAGTTTTTACGGGTGACATAACCAAGTACAGGTCTTTCTTGCGTGCCTTCGAAAGCAGGATTGGCAGCAAGACGGACAACGATGCCGAGAAGCTGCTCTACCTGGAACAATACTGCAGCGGAAAGCCGAGGGAAATCATCAGAGGATGTCTGTATATGTCCGACGAAGCTGGTTACCTGGAGGCGCGACGACTGTTGGAGAGACGCTACGGTGATCCGGAGTCCATTTCGTCGGCGTTCGTGGACATGCTGGTGGACTGGCCCCAGGTGAAGCCGGGAGATGTAGACGCGTTGGATCGCTTCTCACTTACTCTGACGTCGTGCCTGAATGTAATGCAAGAGATACCACCTGGTGAAAGAGAAACTGATCATCCCCGAACGATGAGAAGAGTGGTTGAGAAGCTTCCTGTCCATCTTCAGGATGCATGGCGCAGACGTGCGCATCAGATCAAAGAAACTGAGGGAAGAAAAGTGGTTTTCAACGACATCGTATCATTCGTTGATCATGAGGTTCAGGTTTTGACAGACCGAACCTTCGGAAAACAGAAGGATGAGAGAACAAAGAAGGCCACGTTTACCGTGTCTGCTACCACTGTGACTGAAGGAAGCCGTACCGTGACGTGCTTGTACTGCCAAGGAAGACACTTCACCGACGTCTGTCTGGAGCTGAGCAAGCTGCAGTTCGAGGAGAGGCGGAAATTTGTGCTGGAGAATAAGCTGTGCTTTGGCTGCTTACGTAAAGGACATCAGTTCAGAACTTGCTTCAGGAAGCTGACCTGTGAATCTTGCAAGCGACTTCATCCGACCGCAATGCACAAAGACGAAACCCCTGGGACTGCAACACGTACTGACAGCGGGAGCCAGCAATCCACTCTAGTGAAGAGTGGGAGGCTGGAGATCTCGACAGGCACAGCAGGCAGCTCGTCAGCCATGATGGCCATCTTACCTGTGCAGGTTTGGAATGAAGACTGTTCAAAATCTGCTGTGACGTACGCATTCCTCGACATGGGTTCGTCTGCTTCATTCTGCACACCAGAACTTCTGAAGAGCCTCAGCATGGATGGAAAAGTGGAGGATCTCACCATGACGACTGCCACAGCAGTGAATCAGAAGATCACCTCCAAAATGGTCAAAGGATTGAAGATCTCTGACACCAGGGGCAGTAATGTGATCCCCATGCCGCGCCTGTACACCTTGGACAAGGTACCGGTGGATCACAGCGACATTGCAAGAATCGAAGACCTGCGACGATGGCCGCATCTGCAGGAGGTTGTTGCAGAACGTGTGGATGTCGACATCGGATTGCTGATTGGAGCCAACTGTCCTCAGGCCTTGGTTCCCTTGGAAGTTCGTTCGGCTGAGGAAGGATGTCCGTTTGCTGTTCGGACGGCACTTGGTTGGGTCGTGTATGGACCAAGGGAGGACAGTTTGCTATCAGACGAGGGATGTGAGGTCCAAAGGAGGGGCCAGTGGGTTGGAAGGACCGTTGTGTCTAAAGTGAGACCACCGAGCCAAAGTTGGAGCCGTGGAGCCCAGAGTCGGGACGCTTTCAGTCCGTTTGGAGGCAGTGTTGCCTGTGGGACGTCGGGAGCTCAGTGGGTTTGCGCGGGTGCAGACCGTGGGCCCACTTGGGTCGCCCGGGTCCGGAAGAGTGGGCGCTGGGGGTCGCCCAGTGAGTGTGTGTGTGGTGCCGGCAGGCGATGACCGGTGGATGAGCTTCTGCCGGCGCCAGCGGCAGCAGCAGCGGCAGGAGCAGCAGCAGCAGCAGCAGCAGCGCGGGTTTTGGCGTTGAGTACGAAGGAAGACCTGCAAGACGCGAAACTGGGAATATCTGGTTTCGATATTGTGATTGTGTCACAAGTGCGATTTTCGGAAGAATGTCTTTGTTGGTAATATTGGTGCCTTATCTGAAGCGTCTAGAAGATAAGCAAGAAACCCTGTTGGTTGTTGTATACCACACATCAAGCAGACGGCTGCCTTGAGCGCGGCTTTGGCTAAGATCTTTGAACCAGGAGGGTTCAAGGGAGGGGGTGTGGTCGCCGCGCTCTATCGTTTCCTTTTTTCCTTCCGTTCCCTTATCTTTTGTTCCAATATGATTTGTCCGTAGTTCACCGTGCGCCTTTCTGGCTCGACGCCAACTTGGCCGGCTACCCGAGCCTGTAAATGTGACCACTGCCGATAGATGCCGCTAATGATTAACCGCGAGTGACCTGAGAAGTAGTGCCGTCCGACACAATATAGCATAAGCGTTTATATGTATCTGTAATTGCAAATGCTCAAAAATTGATTGTTTCGGGTGCTTATTTATTCAACAATATTTCCAACACTGTTATAAGTATCCCGATGTTGTGCGATTTACTTTCGAGCTGCCACGTCATGTGTTCGTGCGCGGGGCGTGTCGCAGTGACCGGCGACTGGGTCGCGGCGCCATTGCTGGTCGAGAGGCGATAAGCGTGTGACGTTGTGTGCTGTGCTCCGTCGCAACTGATGGTGAGTTGAGAGACCTGAAATTGATATTGTTCTTTTATTTACGTCGGCATGAAATATGTGATATTCAGTTCAGTGTTATTGGCGCAGATACCTGAGAAAACTTATTGACCTGTTCTAGGTATGATTCGATGGTGACCGTCGTGTCAGGAGCGAGCCGCGTGGAATGTCCCGCAGGAGGCGTTACCTGTCGGTATGTAACGAATGATATTGGTCCCTGGCACATTGAAATGTTATTGCTGAACCCATTTACTATCGGATTTGCAAGCTGAAGTTAGATGTTAATTATCGGGAGAATTGCCGCGCTGTTCGGATTATGTGAGGGGATTGGCGCACGGTGACGTAATTTGTCTCGTTAGTTTTATTGTGTTATTTGCTTTTGTTGTCGCCCGCGTTATGTGCATGTTTTGCTGTTTTCGTTGCATTAATTTTCGTACTGTTTGTTTCTACAGAAACGACCAAATACAGGCCAGTTACGGCTGAGCGCCGTTTGTATGGGAGCGGGTACCGCGGCTACACATGGACCTATTGCATTAAATGTGATCAAAATTCAAAGGCATCACTCTGTTTTAGGTCAGTAGTAGACCGTATTTATAAATTTGTACATAATCCACTTCATGATTTTGCTTCTTGGATTGCCACTTACGAATCGCTTTCTGATATGCAGACTTGGGAAATTTGGCACAAATAGCACACTACTGGTCAAGATATCAACGTTACGAATACGTATATTTTACTTATCACTGCATGCGATTTTGAAACATTTTATGAACTTTTATTTCACACATGAAATAATCACTCATTTCGAAATGTCGACCAACTCGGCTGCTTTTCATCACTAATTGAGTCGCACGGTAGCGTGCAGCATCGACTGCATCAACGCCACTATGTATAACTAGCGCGGTCACTTGCGCCGGTCGTATGTAAAGACTTAAAACAATTCCTGGATAAACGGGACTCAAACATTATGCAGGTGATGGATTTAGCCAGCTCTGGCCGTAGGCCGATTACTGGCATTGACGTCCTAAAGAATCGGTAAACAGTTGACTCGCTCAGTCGCAGACTCACACAAAGCAGCATTAACCCGCGGAGCCGATCAGCCTTAGTGAAATGTTGAGATTCGTTCCTCAACTTGCCCTTTGTGGATCGTCTAGAGTGACATTCTTACATTCACTTGATGTGTTATCTCTCACGTATGCAACTCACGTCCATCTCACGTTTATCCCATTATCACGTACATAAAACCGCATGAGGCTCACGTCCAGCTCACGTAAAACTAACTCCATGATTGGCATCCAGCTCAAGCTCACCTGACGTCTAACTGACGTCCAGTCCACGCGTAACTGCAGCGAAAAGTGCCAACTGACATCCATCCAGACCATCCCCTACAGCATTAAACTGTGATGTTGCCTGCTGAAGACAAGCATTGAAGTTCTACCTAACGTCAATGTTCCACAAACGTCTAACGACCGCGGAGAAAATGCTCAAGAAACTTGAACTGCACGTCACCTGACGTTACACTGACGTTCGATACACGTCATACTGACGTCCAGACGATGGGTGCCAGTCTTCATGACGTGATATTTTGGGAATTCATGTCTCCCACATCAAGTTGTACATGTTGAGCCCCGACAGAATCGTGACATCCTGCAAAAAGAGAGGTTTGTAAGAAAATTGGTGATTGAAATAACCATAGTTAGATGAGTACGAACCAATACAGCTGAAAGGCATGGAATTCGTAGGTAGAAAGGGTACACAATCAGATTGATGTAATTTCTATTATAATTATTGGGCATGTACACCGAAACTCGTTAAAAGAAGCCTAACTTATCATAGTAAACCAGTATAACGCCTTTTGGGGCGACTAACGGAGCGAGCGAGAGGGTGAGCCTTGCACGTGCGGAATTTCGAGGGGATACCTCCAACTGACTTGTGCACTGCACTCTACTAACCGGTCTCTAGCGATGTGTCAAATTTGGGCACAATCGGCCCAGCCGTTCTCGAGATCTGGAAGCGGCACCCTGCACGTGCGCACGTGCAAAATGGGTCCCAACTGACTTGTGCACGGCACCCTACTAACCGATCCCTAACTGTGTACCAAATTTGAGCGCAATCGGTCGAGCCGTTCTCGAGATCTGAAATCGACCCCTGCACGTGCGCACGTGCAGCAGCACCCCAACTCTGGCACATGGATATGCAGTGCCTAGTGGGTGCCTACCTACATGCCAACTTTGAGCGCAATCGGCCAAGTAGTTACCGAGATATTGCAACAATTGCAAAACTGACACCTCTTCGTTTTGCACGTGGCACGTGCATAAGGGGTCACCCACATGCATCGGGAATAGTCCAATACTTGGTAGAAGGAATGAAGCTACCCTACAAAAATTACCGCATGTAAATCGGTCAAGTGGTTGCTGAGATATAAGCCTCGCAAAAGCGTCCGCACGGCCGGCCGGCCGGCCGGCCGGCCGCTCATACTCAGAAATTTCCGTTAATCTAAGTAAAGACTCCGCTCGCTTCGCTCGCTCCGTAAAAACTTACATGCTGGCAAACAGTTCCCGTCCGTGCATATTACATATGTACATGCAACATGCAACTTCAGACGTGGGGTTTTATTGCGCGGCAGTTCGGCGACAAAACCAGCTTCGAGCTACACGTTTCGAAAACGTTTCAAGCTACACTTTTTAGAAATGCATTCAAATGCAGATTCTCACCGAATCTGCGAACGCATCTCACTTCAATGAAGTAGAGGACACATAACTGTACACCAAACTACAAAGTCTCAAAGCTAATAGGTGCTATTGTCCCACCTTTGAGCAATAAGTAGTAAATTCTTCCAGGGTTATAATACCATCATGGTTTGTGTCGATCCTCTGAAAAGCAAGAACGACAATGAATAGCGGTCAAGTTTAGCTATGGGCCACCAAGGGATAATCTCTCGCGTTTAGTTAGGCCATCGTCAGATTCGACTTTGGCATAATGTGTCAAAAAATGTGCCAGATGAATCTGCCAATGGACCATACTATACATGCAAAAGGAAAACCAACCGTCTCTTAGAACAGACACGCCCGATGTAACAGACTCAGAGGCCATACATCCGCTGGAACGGTCAACCCGGAAGGGTAGGTATACTTCTATGTGATAAGCTGCCCAGGTTCATCAGTGGTCTGGTAGGATGACCACTTGTTGGAGTATGTAACGTCCTAACATATGCATAACTTTGTAAGTAATCAATGATGGTAAATTAAAGTAATATGGATGGGAAAGCTGGAAAGTCTCCGAAAAGCTAGAGTGGCTCATGGTAGTGAACGACCTTTAAAACGTGCATCGAGTAGTCAGAGCAGCCAAGAGCTGTAGGTGGCAGGCCGGCAGATAAACGGATAGCTCTATCCGTTTATCTGCCGGCCTGCCACCTACAGCCTTCGGCTCGATCCTGTTAGCCCTCTCAGTATAGATGTCAGCACCATCGCTGCGCCCTCCGGCCGACGTCTCACCGAGAACAGATCCTGTCCTCTCTCGTCGGGAGAGACGTGGTCGGCCTGCGTCGTGTCGATCAGTCGGTAGATGGCGCTCACCACCAGTCGCATCTCGTCCTCAGTGATGAAGCCGTCATTGTTGACGTCATATAAGCTGCAAACAGAAGGCAGACGGTTCATCAGACCTTGATCTGATAGGTGCACAGCAGGAGTGGTTGTGTGCAGTGTGCATCCCAAGCTAAGCTACAAAATTTAAACGAAATAATTTGGTGAAATTAGATTAGATTTCGTACCATCTGCCATGGCATTATTTGAGTAAACGTTGAAACGTTTTGTTAAAAGCATACTAACGTCTGATCGTCAGAAACTATCGCCCAGTCCCACGAGCTCTTTGCTTATGAAACATGCACACCATGCGAATGGAAGCTCTCTTATCAATCACTCTGACACCAATAACATTCCACGGGGACCGGCAGATGTATTTTGCACGAACACCGCGCGAGCGTGTGTGCATAATTTGTGAGCCTTACTGAGAAGAAGTCAGCACTAGCGCACGCAGCTCGACGCACAAGGGACTTCAGTCATTAACGGTTGGCTCGGTCAGGTAAGCGGGGTAGCTCATGCCTATGGGCTAATGACGATAATCAATAATCATATTATTATCGATCGTTAAGATATGTGTGGATTTAAAGCTGTAAAAGGGCACTTTTATTTATAAAAACTCTTTTGGTTAAGGTTCGAATTGCAATAGGTAGGTAGGTACATTCAACAGACCTAATTCATTAATTCTTTGTTGTGTGCTTATTAGCACCTGTAACTGAAGGATTATTCATCTCCATAGCGATTCTCTTTTCTCGGACTTTCAATTAGTGGCCCTGTCAGTCACAGCCTGCGCCTCGGCCTGCGAACGTGGAATTCAGAGAAACCAAAACGAACCGCCTATGAATTACGGCATCACGAGCTTATTGAATTATGCTGTAGCTGAAAGAAAAAGTTTTATTTCATGAATTTGTTTTGGATTAATGTAAATACGTGCGAATCATTATCAAAACTAAATCTTCGAAATCCAAACGTAGTTCTTGGTTCAGAGTTCAGACAGTTTAATTGAATGTGATTAAATGTGACTTCATGAAATATGCTTTATCTTGTTTATCGTCCCCTCGCTAAAATGAAGGCTTTCACAAAGCATACTAAAAAAGTCTTACTTTTAATGATGGTGTATTGATCGCAAACCAGCTTTAAATGGTGGTGCATCTGCGTCGAATTAAGCATCTGCTTTTGCACCACCACATGGACTATATGCTTATTTTCATCTCATGTTAAATAAATGTTTGCTTGCTGTTGTTGAATCAGCACAGCATCCAAAGCTCACTAGCTCCAGTGACTACATTCCCATTTCCCAGCGACCCTCCTCGATGACAATGCAGGAGCATTACCGCGGATATACCCGGCCACCGACCAGCGGAGGTGGAGTGGCTCAGGTCCGCCATCACTCCCGAGACGTCCGCGGAGGAAGAGTGATGTCCCGCCCCTCTCAGCTCCCCACACCACACCCCTCTTCTTCCCTACACTCCCGAGCTCTGCCTCGACCGATGCTGGATCACTCCCGACTGCATGCCTGTTTTAGTCGAGACATATAGACGGTTAGCTAATAGCTGATATTCTGAGTGCAGTTTCCTAGAAAACATGTTTTACCAGATATCACCATTATCATTTTTCTGATATCATTTACGGAAGGCTATGGAAAGCAGTCACCAAACTTATGAAAAGACGTAATCGGAGATGATTGCTTCTCTGTTTCGTGAGTTAGCTAAAGAAACATGAAAACATTTGATCCTTAAACAAATAATCACCTCAGTGAAGCCCGACAAAATAAAATATCCCCAGGAACTAAAACATAGAATTGAAAATAAGGAATCGTCACTCAACATCTTATTGGAGTCACTCTGATAGGTGTCTTATTTTCTAAGTTCTTGGCATTTGAAAGTGTATCCATTTCTGTTTTCA